TCTAATTCATGTCCAATTGATTCATTGTGTTCATTTCAAATTGATTTTTTTTCCTTGCCCATTTTCTCACACAAAACACACACAATCTTCCATGTTCTTCACCTCTTAGTGCACTTCTCTCTGTTACTTTTTAGGGGGAGAAAGAGCATATCAAAGTTCTTGTTGGAAATTAAATTCATTAAGTCCATGTTACTTTGTTTAGGGCTGGCCCAACATTATGGTAAAAAAGCATGGGTTTTAGGCCCCATAATTTTAGGTACATCACTAGCCCACAAAAAAAATTAAATCCATTAAATATTTAGCCTTACAAAAAAGCTCCAAAAAAAATAAATTCAATCAAGATTTTTATTGCAATAATTTGGGCCTATAATCCAATCCATAACATTAAAAACTTAGAAATAAAAAAAATAAAAAAAATATTCAAAAGTCAACTCATATTTACTCCAACCCATCCACTCTCTCTGTCTCTCTCTCTGGTAAAAAAAATAAAAGTTGAAATTAAAAACTCTTTCTCACTCTCTGTGATAAAAAACAAAAACAAAAGTTGAATTCTCTTTCTCTACAAAATTAATACATCATGCTTTTGTCTCCCTCTCACATAAAATATTAAAAATAAATTATCTTTTTTTTAACAAAGTAATACCAAAAATAAAAAATCCTCCATTTAATGTTTCCGCTTTAGGCCTTAAATTGGCTTGAGTCGTCCCTGCAAAAGGGTGACGGTTTTTCCAGGCTGAGCATGGCTTTTGAAAAACCTTCTCGACTCAGTTCTGGATTGCATGACTAGGTTTCTGATTTCATCCAGTTTTGCTTGGTTTGTAGACCATGGCGATTGGTCGCACTAGAGGAGAATAATTGCCACCGTATTTAGAAACAAAAGTTGCATATCCTCAAAACATGTAATGTACTGCCTATGCTGATGATCCCTCCTATAGGTAATTACAAAGAAAGCTTGAGTTTTTATAGTGTCACCGAATGACTAATCAATGATATCAAGTTGCCAATGCCTTATAATAGATGATGTTTTGGATCTTCACATGGATGGTTATTTAATATAGAAAAATCTATGACCATTACCCCGTTGAACCCCTTCACTCAAGAAACCATTGGTCTGCTAGAGTTCAAAGATCCTTCCTACCATTACCATGAGTGGGTTGATAATGATGACTATGAAGTATATTATCCTGTGATCCTTCTCAAGATCCTAAAAATTATGAAGTCGCGGTCATCCACCGAGAAATGAGAACATTGGCATTTTTGAAATCAGGGATGAATCTTGGATATTTATAGACTTGAAAGAAAATTACTTATTTTCTGACCTTACTTTCCATGAAGGTCAATTCCATGGTATCAACAATTGGGGTAGTCTTATATGTGTTGATGTTATTAATGGGAGACATAAAGTGATAGTTAAACATAAAAAAGTTTTTGGTAGACTTGGAATAACTTATTTGGTGAAATCACATGACGGAGATCTATTAAAGGTGACAAGGTCCATGACGAGATGCATTGTAAGACTTCGGGCTGCAAGATTTTTAAGTTGTCATATTTTGTAACGCCCCGATTTTTCTCTTCTTTTCGAAGACATTAATTGATATAAAAACACCCAAATAAAAATAACAAAGTGCTACTTGTCCCAATAAAATTTCATTTATCAAAATCATCTCCCAATACAAATAAATCTGTCACAAATAAATCTCCCAATACAAGTAAAACATCAATTATGTTGACATCTCCTTGGCTATAATACTCTGATTATCTCGTTTCGATCTTTTCTCTAAAATCAACCTTAAAATATTAAATAAAATGGGGAAGAATACAATATGACGAGAAAAAATATGCTCAAGGACATTGAATAACAAATAATCGAGTATCACAAAGTATCTCAATCAACAGATACAAATATTATATTTGCATATCACACGTCATGTAGGATCTTAACACAGATCTGACACCTCACCAATCATCCCACCTCAACCCGGTCTCACAGGTCTCTTGGCTGGCGATGCATCGGCTATCAGCTGTCACGATCCCGTCTCAATATCCGCAGAACATGATCAATGAGATCAAAATATTCAACGATATTCAATCAAAATTCTAAAATAACGATAGCACAAGTTGGAATACAAATCAGAGGATAATCAAAGAAATACTCTTTGCAAAGAGATTTAAGGAGAGTATATTGCATACCACCCCGTACCTTAGAATCATTATTTGAATTCGATAACTTTGATTTCCATTTCATTCTTCTTCTTCCTCTCAGTTTGAACTAAAAACACCCACCAAGATTTGATTTCTCCCTCCCTCTCTTCCTCCTTATTATCGGCTCAAATGGACACCCACACCTATATTTTTGTTCCTTTCTCTTTTATTCTCCCTCACTATTGGTTTCCAACAAGCAAGAACACACACACACACACATTTCTACACCATTAATTACACACACCCACATTTTCTACAATGTATTCAATGCTAGCTGAATTTCCTTTATTTTTATTCTTTCTCTCTCTTTCTTTTTCTTTACCTTGTCTTGTCTCTTTTTTTTTTTTCAAATTCTTCATGTGGGTGAAGACCAAAGCATCATAAAGTTAAAATATTTATACATTGCTCCCCTTTATTTCAATTATTATATATATCAACTACAAAACTTAAATATTCCTTATACTTTTACATCAAAAATCCTAATATTTTATACTTAAACTACTTCTAAAAATTTGGGATCTCACATATTCAAACAAGATGACACAACCCACGCGGATTGAAATCAAGAGCTTATGCAATCAAGCTTTATTTCTAGGAGATAATTATTCTGTGGCAGTTTCTATATCGGATTTTTGTGGATGCTCACCAAATTATATATATTATGCCGATCATCATTTTGAAATTACTACCTATGTTTCTCATGGAGCTAATGATGACACAGGGGTCTTCAATTTGATGGATAGAAGCTTCAAGACGTATTACACACCCGATCCCTCTAATTATTCCTTGTTGCCCCCAATTTGGATTGTCCCAAATTTGAGAGACACATATTCAACCTAGCTGATCATTGTACCTCCTTGTCCTTAGTTATAGGTTTCCTTTCATATTGCCATATGATTTCCCAATAGTAGATGCTTCAATCATAGTTTTTAAACCCGGCCCGGACACCAACCCGGCAAAGGGACCGGGTTAATGGGTTACTGGTTCAACCGTGGGTCAATCGGTCGAACCGGTCATATAATTAATAATAAATAATAATAATAATAATAATAATAAATATGCTAAACAATTATAATAATTACAAAAATAACATATTTGATGTTATAGTAAATGAAATAAAAAGACAAAAAATATCCTCAAATCATTACTTTGCTTACATAATTGATATAATTTGATAGAGCATAAAATAATTCACTAAAAATATTGAATATTTAGTATAAATAGTAATAATATGATGCCTAAAAAACCAAAAGAAAAATTAATAGAAAAAACATTGACAATTTAAGTACACTACCTATCCCACATCAAAAACTCACAGGGAGTTACGAGGATTGTGTGCCTATAAAAGTGTTGCACTTCTTTAGTTGTTGTTGTCAAATGGTCAAAACTTGCTGGCTGATCGTTAGTTCCTTTAAAGTTTGGTTTGAATATTTTATGTTTGAGCCTTGAAGTTTAATTTTAATATTTTATGTTTGAGTTCCAATATAAAAATGAATTTATTGGATTTGTGCAAACTGGACCAGTTTGCACTGGTTCATGAAAAATGATTGGTTTAGGCTGATTGGTTTAGGCCGATTTGAACGGTTCTTAGACGTGTCATTTGTTGGACCGATCCAATTAAGGAATCAGCCTGGATTAGGCACCGCTTCACCGATTTTTTAGGTTGACCTGCTGGACTGGGCTAGGTTTTAAAACACTAGTTTCAATCAACACTAAATTTATAAATAAAAAAAACACTAAATTTAGACTTACAAATATAATATATTTTACGCCTATTAAGTTTATTACTTTCTGTGAAACACATTTTTTTAGCCCGTTAAAGTTTTAATTACAATCCTAAAGGGTTAGGCTAGTGGTACCTCAACCACCTAATAAACCTCTCAAGAGAGGTAAGTTAGGGGTTCGAATATCTCACAGAGCATAGTTCATAGTGACCACAGCCCATAGATTTACTCCATTGTGTGCAGAAGTGGCTATGACAAGGGCTATCATAGTTTAGTATGTGATTGAGGTAATAGTGTGGTGATCGGGACAAGTGGGATATAAAAAAAAAATGCTTTTTTTTTTATTGAACTTTTTTTCCTTTATGTGTAAACCAATGAAGATGGTGGTTTAAGTAAGAATTTCAAACCCGGCCTATTTTTTTTCTCTGTTATTTTAGTAAAATATGTGGATTAGACTGATAATAATAAGACATTAGGTGTTCATGGCTGGTAGCCAAGGCTCTATTGGTTCAAAGAGAAGAATGGGTGCAAAGAGAGAGAGATGCACACGATTTATGTAACTAAGATAACACTAATTAATGCAGTAAGATAAAAATTAGTAAGCCCAATCATAATATATATATGTGAGAGAGAGAGAGAGAGAGGGCGAGAGAGAGGCCTTAACCTAATAAAGTTGAACTCTCATCACAAGCCACAAGTAGCACAACCTACATACTGCAAGCAATTCTAAGCTTCTATTCATTGTGTTTTGTTAGAGTCTCCAGGCAACCAAAGTAGAGGATGATGCTTTCAGGTTTAGGTTGGGCAGGACTTCCAAAAAACATCATCGACTCAATTATTGACTGCATGATCCATTTTTCTGATTACATTCAATTTTGTTTAGTTTGTAAACCATGGCGTTTGGTTGCTCTAGAGGAGAATAACTACCACCACCTTCAGAAATAAAGATTGTCTATCCTTAAAGAATGTCGTGGTCAACTACCTATGTTGATGGTCCATCTCACAAATAACAACAAAGAAAAATAATGTTTTTATCGTGTGACTGACTGAGTAGTCCATGATCTCCAATTGCCAATGCCTTACAAAAGGTGGTGTTTTGGCTCTTCGCATGGCCAGTTATTCATTATGAAAAAACCTATGATCATAACTCTCTCAAACCCATTGAATGGGAGAACTATCCACCTCCCAGAATTCAAAGATCTTTCGAATGATTACCAGTACTGGATTGATAAAGATGACAATGAATATTTCATTTGTAAAGGTATATTATCTACTGATCCTTCTCAAGATGCAAAAAATTATGAAGTTGTGGTCATTTATGGTGGGATGAAAACATTGGCATCCTTCAAATCAGGGGATGAAGCTTGGACTTTCTTGGATTTCAAAAAAGATTACTTATTTTCTGATGTTATTTACTATGAAGGTCGACTCCATGGTGTCACTGAAAGGGGTGGACACATATGTGCTAATGTTATCAATGGTACTATTAAAGTTGTTATTGAACCAAGAAAGATTGAAGTTATACTAATAACTTAGTAAAATCACAAGAGGGACATCTATTAATGGTCCAAAGGATTTTGGAAGTAATCAAGCATGACCAACTACATTTAAGACTTCAGATTTCAAGGTTTTTAGGTTATCACATTCAGATGGGATTACAAAACCTTTGTGGCTAGAAATCAAGAGCTTGGGTGATCAAGCATTATTCTTCGGAGACAATGATTCTAGCTGTTTTGACTTCAAATTTCTGGATGCTTTCCAAATTTTATTTACTATATAGATCATTATTTTGAAATTAGCAATTATGTTCCTCGTGGTCTTGATGATGACACAAGTGTCTTCAACTCAATGGCTAGGAGCTTCGAGTTGCATTATAGACCAAACCCAGAGCACTTGGTGCCTCTAATTTGGATTGTGCCAAATTTGAGAGAAGATGTCATTCAACCTACCTATCCGAATCAGGCCACTCCACCAGCTTTCCTTTGATGTTGATTATGCTTGCTAGTTTTAGTCCTAGTTTTGCTACATCTATTGCTTCTATTCTTCATTATATAACAGTTGCTCAGTAACAAAGAGGCTAGAAAGTTTTGTTGAAGTCCCCAAAATTAATTATAAAAAGCAAACATTATTGGATCGAAATGGATGGAATGCATTTTCAATGTTGATTTTGCATAGCGGATAATTCACACAAATAATATTTGCTAGAAAATAGGAATTCATATATATATATAAAATTTAATATAATAAAAAGACATAATGTGGTTCGATACAGAGGACCATCCAAAAACTTACTTTGATGTATTATTCATTAAAAAACTAATCATCTGGTAACTAATTACATAATACTCAATCCTGTTTATAGGGATAAAATATTGTAACCTAATACAATTTGGATATTCTCAAATCTCTATGTTTCCCGCTATAATTTGAATACTGTCAAATCTCTATGTTTTCTATTAGGCCTCTAATAAACTTATCTATGATTTATTAAGTCTCTTCTAATAAGTTTCCTATTAATCTCCATCTATCTTGTGCATCTCTCCTTGAACACTAAAATCTAATAGCCTTGGCAAAGTCTAATTTAGGTCTAAAATGTCATCTCTCGGGATCATGCCTCCAAACTTTTATCTAATAAAAACGTGCCACACATAAGTTTTTTTATAATTTATTATTTTACTATTTTTGTCAATCAATGTTTACAAATCATTCAATCAAAATCAACTGTATGGATCAAACTCTAGCACGGTACCCTAGCCTTATTCATATAAATTTGGCTATTTACATACATAAAAATTCATATACCTAAACAATGAGCCAGAGCTTATATCTAGAAAAATTACTAGTAATGAAGGGTATAAATATCCTATTAGGTCATTGTAACTAGATCAAAAGCATGTATTTTGGGGTGTCACACTAACACATGTTGGTCACACTAGAAATTAATTGAGAATGATATATAATAAGTAGTAGAATCTATTAACATTTTTGTTTTGCAATTCATTTATGTCTTGGTGCACTTATACCTGGCTGCAATGATTGAAAGGGTTTTTGGAATCACCAAGGTAGTGATTGACATGGTTTCTACGGCTTTAAGGTAGTTTACACTTTACAACACTGCTTAGAGTAGAATAGAGCAACATATAGACAATTTTAGCATCCCCAGCAAGGGTAGGATGTCAATCTAAGTTGTTTCATTTCAAATTCATTTCATGTCATTATAAATTTGTGTAGTATTCGGATTTGTAAAAAATATTTAAATCTAAAACAATATAAACAAACTAGATCAACAAATACAAAATGCTTCCTTCTTATAATACTAGCTAATTAGGTCGCCGGTGTTTGTGTAGACCGTGGTGCTTGATTAGTGCCAAAAAAAAGCATATACCATGTGCTAATCATCTATTTTTCACTTGCTTTTGGGGATTGAATGTTTAGAATTGCACTACATAAGCTATTAACGAAGATATTTGATCTTTGCCGAAAAAGATGTTATAAATAATTCTTCTTAAGGCCTTCCCAAGTATGTTAAGGTGAATGAGGATGAAAGGATGGCTTGTGGATAGCTCAGGAGATCAAGGAATTAAGAAATCAGAAAATCAGGCAAACCGTACCGGTACACTTAGGCCTCTGGTGCTTAACGTACTGGTACGTGTACCGGTACGCTTTGCTGAATCTGCACAAAATCTGCAGATCATCCTTTGCTGCTTTGAGGGTCCCACCATCATATCTCCCACACTTCTATGGCACGCGCGCAACATTGTTCATCCCTTTCACAACTCTTTTTGGAGCCATAGTGATCAATGAAGAGAGATGAGAGGGTGTTGTTGTGTGTGCAAACAGGTGTTTGCACTTCCCTGTCCAGCCCACTCCTTGTTGTAGCCTATGGATGGAAATTTCATCACTCAGCTAAGGGAGGAGACTATGGATGGTATTGGGGGAAAATGACTCTATTATTCAGCATTTGATACATTAGAGAAAAGGGATATAGAGAGAGAGTCTGGAGAGGATGATGAATAGTGTAATGTAGTGAGAGAAGTTGAGATTTTCATATTTTCTTCCATACATTTTCTCCCAGTTTCTTGTAAGAGTAATTTAAGCTTTATTTGAAGTGTTGATTGCCATTTATGTCATGTTGTTTTCAAGTTTAGTCTTCCATTAAAGTTTCTACCATTAATACTTCTTTGTTCTTAAATTTCTTCCCTACAATTGGGTATTAAATGCTTTCACTTCTAGCTTATGTTTGCTTGCATTTAGTTACTCAAGAACTTCATTCCTTTGCTACGCATTCTCATTACATTGTTAATTTCATCCCAAGTGTGAGTATCTAAATCTTTTAGTTGGAAAAACCAAGGGGAACCTTTACTTGGGTATGCCATTTCAACTCATTCTCCTCCCTTCTTTTAGAGTTCAATGGTTTGGTTTGATTGGGTAGAGGGTGGATAAGTTGGTGAGTCTTTGATATTCCGTAGGCCTAGTCACGGTTTATGCTTAGATATTCACCCATCTTATCCCAAGTTTCCCACGAATCAATCATTCATTCATGCTCTATTGGAGGAGGGATTCGAGTTGAGATGGTATTCCTATTAGAGTGACTTCTTGGATTAGCCAACGTTTGTTTCTCATTTTATTTTTACCAAAACACACTTCACCAAACAACTTTCAACAACAAAATATTTTACATTTTCTTTCACAAAAAAAAATCACTTTCCCTTGGTTTACTTCCTTCCCCGTGGAAATGACCTTGGAGTACCTTCAAGTAAAACACGACCTATAAAAGTCTCCTTGCGCTTGGGGAGCATTTTTGTTCATACACATAACACTTTTCCACCTTCTCATTTTCCCATCTCCTTGCCCTTTCTTTTGACATCATTTCCAAGGAGAGTGACACTGCCCTTCATCCATACACTATACACTTTGAGGGATGATGTTTAGAGGTTAAGAACAACAAGGAAAACGACCAAGCATTTTTGGCGCCATTGCCGGGGGAAGGCAAGTGTCAAACCAAGAAGGTGATTTCTGGACGATGGAGGTAAGTCTCATGATCTTCATCATGGGCTAAGGTATGTTGTTCCGCGTACATAATCATGTTTATGTATAATTTCATTTGTAGATATTTTGTTTCATGTGGGAATGGGACGAACAAAACCGATTGGTTAGACAACCCTTAGGCCCCAACATGAATATTGACCAAAACCCACTCGAGGATGCGGGCAATAATTTTGATAACGTTGGTGCCAATCCAAATGTTCAAAAGGGTGGGGGAGTGCCCGAACCTAGAATGCCTAATCCACGAATGCAATTTCCCCCTCCTGTGAATGAAGGGAACACATCCACATTGACCCCCCAATGAGGTCAATGAGGGATTTTCTACAACCAACATGTAGCACCACACCATCATGCATCCTCCTTCCGGTCCAAGCTCATCTTTTCATAGTTAAGCCAAGGATGTTGCAACTAATTCCCACATTCCACAAACTTGAAAATTAGAGCCCCTATTCACACATAAGGGATTCCGAGGAAATGGTTGCAACCTTCCTCACCAATCATGGGATGGAAGAGATAGCTCGAATGAAATTGTTTCCCATTTCCCTGAGAGATAAGGCGAAAATGTGGCTTATTTCCTTGAGGCCTCGAATCATAACATCTTGGAGCCAAATGATTTCTGAGTTTTTGAACAACTTCTTTCCGGTGCATAAAACTACCAACCTAAAAACACAAATTTATAATTTTTCAGATAAGCCCAAGGAACAATTTTATCAATGTTGGGATCGATATAAGGAGTTGCTCCAATCCCTTCCACGCCATGGCTTTGAATCGTGGCAATTGGTGAGTTTCTTCTACGAAGGAATTACACCGGGCCATCGCTAATTCATAAATATGATGTGTAATGGCGAGTTCCTAAACAAAGACCCCGACGAGGCTTTAGACTATTTTGATACATTGGCTCAAAATACATAGTCGTGGCACACCTCTAACCCGACCGATGTATCAAGGTCTTTGCCTCACGGGAGTGGCCAACCTCAAGGGGGAAGGATTTAAGATTTGAGGGATATGGAGGACTTACTTTCAAGAATTTTTAAATTGTTTGGGAAGGTGGAATGCCTTGAAGTCAACTGGAGACATGAGGTGTCTAATGTGTCTAAGATTGAGGAGGGGTGCACAATTTGTGAGAGTGTAGAGCATTCCATATTAGAGTGTCCTAACATTCTAGCACTTAAGGAGGTATATCATGAACAAGTCCATGCCTTCAATCAAACAAGGCAATCATTTTCTCCCAACTCGAACACTTATAATCCGGGTTGGAGTAATCACCCAAATTTAGTTGAAGAAATGAGAACGTCATTCCCTATAGGTCAAGTGCATATTCATCTCCCATGGCTCCTAAGCAAAACCAATACCATGGCCAAGGGCAAGCATCTAGCTCACAATACCCAAGGACCAATCCACAAGGGTATCAGTCAAACCCACCACCACAAAATT